AATCATCATCATCATCATCATCATCTTGACTAAAATTTATTAATACTTTTGGTAAAGAGAAAGAAGAATGAAGGGAAGTCTTCCTGGTTTGGTGCAAGAAGTGGATTCGTTGCCTAATTTATAGGCCTATGTTGGCTGATATTTTGGAGAAGATTAAAATTAGAATTTAATAGATTGGTTATGTATCTCTTTAGAAGAAAAGAAGGCATTTAATAGAAGGTGTGCTACATGTTATTCCAAATAAGCTTGATATTGGTGTTACTCCAAGGGAAGAACCATCAACTACCCTTAATCAGTAATTAATGTTTGTGTTATTTCATTATTAAGCAAGGTAGTCAGTCATTATACTTTGCAACCTACCTATTATTTTGTTTAATTTCATTTTTGAACATTAATCAAGAAGATAAAACTTTAATTTATTTGTGGGTCAACATGATGAAAAAGTAATCAAATCGATGCTCCACTTGATGGTCAGAGAAAGGTTGGTCAATTCAAATATTAACAAGAGTGGGTCATATGCATATGTTCTAGATAAATCGTCGATATTTAAGTGACACGATGGATTTAAGTTTTGACATTTCTTTCACGCATCCGTCATGGTAAGCCACTTATCCCTACAACCCTTGTGTGGGCCATCAAATTTAAACATTCAGTATACATCTTTTAATCATTATGAGAAGAGATTGACAAAAGTGGAATGAAACGAGTAGATGTATATAATTCCCGGTATACGGAGTGGCACTCCAAATTGACTTAGATGGATCGGATCAAGTTATTTGGAGCGTGTTTGGTAAATTGGGTGGTTGTGGGTGGTTGTAGCGTTTTGTTAAACGTTATATGAGATAATTTTTAGATTTTGATTTAAATAAAACCTTAAAAACTTGTAGTGTCAAACAAGTATTTTTGTTGAAAACGGAATGTTTTGTCAAACGCTACACACCTAGATGCAAAGGTGGAACACAACAATACGCTAGGAGGGCCGAATCTTAAACTTTCACACAAATTATATAAAGAAAATTAACCTACAATTACTATATTTTCATTTAAATATAAACTACATGAAAAAAAATAACAAACGTTAAATAAAAATAATAATAAATTGATCTTAGGCCCTGTTTGGTAGACTCTTAATTGAAAAATTAAGAGGCAGACTCTTAATTTTTCAGATTTAGAGTGTTTGGTTACATATGAATTTACGCCTCTTAATTTTTAAGATACCTCTTAAACTTTCAGATGTAAATACATATCTGAAAAAAATAAAAAGAACCCGTGTTCCCCTTTTGCCCATATATAATTCATCTCATATGCTCTTTTCTTTGCCCTTTCTTCATCATAAATTTCGCTCTTCTTGTTCCTTCCACTGAAACTCTGATTGCAACCCTTCCCCATCCCCTCCGGTCATCCCCTTCGGACAACGCCTCCGCTAGAGACATTGCCGCCGGCAGCGAAGCCCTCCGGCTTTCTCATCGACGCCGGTTCTCTTCTGCCCCTTTCTTCTCCAGCTCCGATCATGTCTGCAATGTCGCCGTCGTCATCATCTTCGCCTCCGTCTTCCGCTGCTTCGCCACCCTTTTCCGCTGCTTCGCATGTGCTGCCTTTGCCTCCGACATCTTCTGCAGGTAACATTTTCTTTTTATCCTGTAATTCGATTTTAATGCTTGAAATGATGAAAACCCGAATGGTACAAACTCTGTAAGCCATGAAAAGGAGCAGGAAGCTCTTGTATGCAAAACTGGGCTTATACCTTGGATTGGGGAAAAAGGAATTAAGGCGAAAATGGGATCGAATGGAGGAAGATGACAAATGGGTTTTGGCTGAAGAATTCGTTTCAGATTGGAGCTTCAATTATCATACATTATTTGTTAAATTTGTTAAAAAGTTGGTCGATCAACAATTGGTAATAACAATTAATAATTCATCTCAAGATTCTTTTTCTTCATTATTGTTTAATGGTTTGAAGAAACTCATGGGATTTCTAGATGGTAAATGATAGAAAATAATTAATAGTTCTTTGCAATTTCAAGAATTTGTTGATGATAACCAAGTTAACTGAGTTATAGTTTTTACATTATGAATTCATGAGTTCAAAGAAATTATGATTGTGCATACAACTATACAAGGATGATTTCATTCAGTTTTTCATTTCACTATATGTTCAATTATAGATTCACATAATGAAAAGAGGTGCCATTATACTTTCATCCAAAGAAATCAACTGAGGTGCAATATTGAATTGGATATGTGTTTAATTTTGTTTGGATTTTATATGGTGTTTATGTTTTTTTTTTAAATAAAAATATTGAATTTAACAATAGATAATACAAAAGGGTAAAATGGTCTTTTTTATTATTTAGCACAAAAATTCAGATGATCCAAACAAACAACATGTTAAGAATTCAGATCTTAAAAATTCAGACCCTCTTAGAAATTCAGACCTCTTAAAAATTCAGATCTTACCAAACAGCCCCTTAATAATAATAATAATAATAATAATAATAATAATAATAATAATAATAATAATAATAATAATAATAATAATAATAATTTGATAAAAATAAAAAATAAAATAAAATAAATAAGAATCTATAATTTCTATACAATTCCAAATTTAATTTGTCTCTTTTATGCTAAATTTGATCTATAAAACCTTTAAGATTAATTTAAGAGTACCATGTCACCTACCTGGAACTCTAACTCTGATCGACATCGGTCGGCGTAACTCTTATGTCTACTATGTGCAGTCTTCAACTGATGTCTAATCTACTGAATCGTCTCAGTAGTTTGTAAAACTACCTATGTCCGCCCCATCATTATGTGACCAACCTCACCTCAACAAATCGGGGTGCGACATCTCCGCCCGTATAGTAGCTTAAAAGGTGGGGCATCAATACTAGAATGATAGTTGTTGTTGTAGGCGAACTCTGCAAGGGGTAGGTGGGAATCCCAGCTCCCACCGAAATTGATGACACAAGCCCTCAACATGTCCTCGAGGGTCTGTATAGTCTGCTCGCTTTGGTCGTCGATCTGCGGATGATATGTTGTACTGAAATGCAGCAGGGTGCCCAGCTCCTCGTGGAACCTCTGCCAGAAGCGCGAGGTGAATCTAACATCTCGGCTGAAAACAATAGCGACCGGAACTCCGTGGTGAGCAACGATCTCGCGGGCCTACATGTCGGCTAGCTTCTCGGCCGACGAACTCTCCCTTAGGGCCAAGAAATGGGCACTCTTGGTCAATCGATCCACGATAACCAATATAGCATCATACCCTTCGCCGTCCTCGGTACCATGGTAATGAACTCCATCATGATATGTTCCCATTTCCACATGGGAATCTCTAGAGGCTGCAGCTTGCCATGCGGCCTCTGATGCTCGGCCTTGACCATCCTACAGGTCAAACACCTCTCGACATACCAAGTGATTTGTTGCTTCATGCATGGCTACCGGTAGCTTAAAATCAAATGTTGGTACATCTTGGTGGCTCCTGGGTGAATAGAGAAGTGAGAATTTTGAGCATCCTCCATAACCTACTACCTAACTCCACCAGACATCGGAACCCATACCTGACCGCATCGGGTCAACAATCCTCGGCTATCCTGCACAAATCGGGTGTTCTCACCCCTGATCCTCTCTAGTTTCCAGTTCTCTGGTCGCATGCCCTCAGCCTGAGCATCTCTAATCAAACTCACGAGTGAAGAATCCACCGATATCCTTATACATGTGGATGGTATGGAAGACCCAGTTGACTTGCGACTCAGAGCGTCCGCCAACACATTCGCTTTACCTGGGTGATAAATGATATCTCAGTCATAGTCATTGACTACATCTATCCACTTGCGCTGTCTTATGTTCAGGTTTGGCTTACCCATGTTGTGTCTCAGGGTCTTCGGATCCGTGTATATGGTACAACGGACTCCATAGAGGTAATGTCTCCAAATCTTGAGAGCGAATAATACTGCTCCCAACTCCAGATCATGAGTAGGGTATCTCGTCTCATACGGCTTCAGCTACCGCGATGCTTATGCTATCACCCATCCTCTCTGTATAAGGACCGCCCCCAGTCTAGTGATGGATGCATCACATAACACCACAAAATCCTCAACTCCCTCCAGGAGAGTGAAGACTAGAGCCTCGCATAGTCGCTGTCGGAAGGAAAAAAAAAAGCACTTTGCTGCTCGGGGCCCACCGGAAATCCACCCCCTTTCTCGTCAAACAAGTGAGGGGTACTGCAATCTTGGATAAATCCTATATGAATCTCCGGTAGTACCCTGCCAATCCTAGAAAACTCCTGATATCCGAAGGAGATTTCAGAACCTCCCACTACATAACCGCCTCGATTTTGGCTGGATAGACCAAAATTCCCTCCTTGTTAACGAGATGTCCGAAAGAATTGGACCGCTCGTAACCAAAACTCACACTTCGAGAACTTAGCATAAAGTCTTTCCTGCCTCAGAACTCCCAGTAATTCCTATAGGTTCTCCTCATGCTGCTCTCGAGTCTTGGAATACACCAAGATATCATCTATGAACACAATGACTGAGCGATCGAGCATCGGTCTGCATACTCGATTCATCAGGTCCATGAATATTGTTGGGGTGTTGGTAAGCCCAAACGACATCACCACGAACTCATAGTGTCCATAACGAGTCGGAAACGTGGTCTTCTCCACGTCCTCCTCCGTAACTCTGACATGATGGTATCCAAACCTCAGGTCTATCTTGGAGAACCAAGATGCTCCCTTCAACTGATCAAAGAGATCATCTATCCTCAGGACTGGATAATAGTTTTTAACCGTCAGCTTGTTCAACTATCGGTAATCAATGCACATCTGGTGTGAACCATCCTTCTTCCTAATGAAAAGGATCGGTGCTCCCCATGGAGAACTGTTCGGACGAATGAACTACTTGCCCACTAGTTCCTGCAACTCTTGCATCTCTGGTGGTGCCAATCGGTATGGTGCCTTGGCGATAAGGGCCTCACCTGGCACCAGGTCGATCCGAAAC